GAAGCAGATATCTTTTCAGAAGCAAGAAAAAAAGAGGCATCAAAGAACATGACATTTACAGGTGAAAATTGATGATTCTGAGATGAAATAACTCGTGAACACGACGGCAGTATTGCTGGAAACACTACAATGAGTTCTCATGTAATCATACAAATTCTTCCCTATCGAAATGTGATACCGATGAAAGTCCTCGCCAGACAAAACCCAAAACGAGAGTCTAGAAAAGTTGTGGGATGATATCTTTTCGTTATGAAGAATTCAGGATCATAAGTGCTTACAATTAGCCAGCGATTTCGCTTTGAATTGCGATGGCATTTAGGCAGAATTAAGCATAGAAGAACAAACAATGTGACGAAATCAATAGGAACACGTGCATAATGATACTCCCAATGAATATTGTCAATTACGTTTAATTCAGCTTTTGATTATGAATGATTTTGGGAAAATTCAAAAACATATTTCGAACGGTTAAGATCTCATTAAAAGTCGAGTAATCTCATCAAAAAATTATCACTATGCATTAAAGAAAGATTTGAAATCTCATAACGATACATACGGTGCAGATGCATTAATGCATTGTTTCTAACATATGAATATATTTTTATGTTGACAAGTTTATGCATGTAAGCAATAAAAAAATTCATAAATTTGGCTGTAACTATTGTTACAATGTAATCTTATCAAATAATATCAAACTGTGTTTAACACTGACTATGAGCTAAAAACGGCGAAATGTGCTTGACAGAATCTCAACAAAACAAAAACCCATCACAATCGCATAGCCAATCGTAATAAAATTTTTTTTGGTTCATAAAACAATACGCATCAGCAAATGTGTCCTTTCAAGACAACGTGCTAAACGTCAGAAAACGCGCAATTTCAGTATAACTGCTCTTGTTCGTGTGCTTTCATGACTTGACAGTTACATATTGCTTTCGTTTTATGAGAGGATCATAAAATTGATCTGATAAGATTTTCAGCTTATATACACCTACTTTAATGAGTACATCAACAAAAACTCATCGCATCGCTTCTACCGAACTATCAAACGAACTGCAACAAGTGAGTGATATGATGCAGTACTGTAATAGCATTGTGCAGTATCACAGGCTCACTGTCAAAATGATACTGCAGTAAGAAAGCATCGAAACATTCAATGCAATTGATCATGACATCGCAAGCAACACCAATAATGTATCACTCACTCTATTAAAAGAAACAACCACAATCAAAGAAAGTAACACACAGAATCGCAATACAATCGGTATAAATTCACATCGCTCGACGGACAGTGGAATAAGTAATACGAAAACACAAAAACACAGATATAAAACGAATC